CGTTCATGCATAATTAAAAACACAATACTATTTACAAGTATGTGTGTATATATATATATGTACATATATATATATATATATATATATACCCTTAAATAATATATAAAGTAAAAGCATGAAGACAACTTCAGGATAGTGGTTACTTTGAATTGAGGGATCAGAATCAGACTGTGGAGGGGCACAGCTGTATCTATAACACGTTATTTAAAAAAAAAAAAAAGAGCTGAGGCTAATAAGATTAAACGTTAATATTTATTATATCAGGATGGTAGGTCTGGGTGTTTGTAATAATGTCCATGTACTTCTATGTTGGAAATGGTCACAATTTTTAAAGGATCATGTATAAACTAACAGGGACAGATTAGATTAACTAAGGAAAGTGGGCAGAGAAAAATGAGAAGGAAGCCCAGAACAGAATCTGAGGTAAGGTGGACAAATTCCTTAAAAACACGACTTACTAAAACTGACAGAAAGAAATAGAAGATCTGAATAGCTCTATATCCATTAAAGAAATAGCATTCATAATTTTAAAACTTCCCACAAAGAAAACTCTAGGCCCAGATGGCTTCACTGGTGAATGCTATCAAACATTTAAGGAAGAAATAATACCAGTATTTACAATGCCTTCAAAAAATAGGAAGGAGGGAATACTTCCTAGCTTGTTTTAATGAAGCTAGCATAACCCTGATACCAAAACCAGACCAGGATATTACAAGAAAAGAATATTACAGATCAATATCCCTCATGCACATAGTTATCTGTATATCGAATACAGCAATATATAAAGAGATTAATATATCACGACAAAGCAGAATTTATCCCAAGAATCCATGGTTGGTTTAACATACAAAAATCAATCAACATAATTCACCACATTAAAAGAGTAAAGGATAAAAATCATATAGCATCCCAACAGAGGCAGAAAAAGCATTGGAAAAATCAACACCCATTCATGATAAAAATTCTCAGCAAATTAGGAATAAAAGGGAACTTCCTCAATCTGATAAAGGGCGTGCAAAGATGGAGTAGAATAGGAGAAGCTTGTGGTGTAAATTGTGAGCAACGCCAAGACACAGGAGAAAAACCCGAGGAGTGGGATATCATGCCAAGAGAGCAAAGTGTTTCAAGGAGAAGTGGTCCACTGTATGGCACGTTGTTGAGGTGGATAAAGATAAGGATAGAGGTCCATGGAGGTCACTGGTGACCCTGAAGAGAGCCTGCTCTGTGCATGGGTCACTTCATTTTTTACTTCTCACCAGGCTGTTCTTAGTGTGCCTTAGAATAACTCCAACATATCTCTATTCAAGAGCAAAGCAAACAAACCAACAAATAACAAGTTATAGAAAAAAGGCAAAGCTTACAGAGTTTTTCTTAGGCCCACTGCCTGATTTTTAACCTAAGGCTCCAACATCTGTAATATAGTAGAAAGATCAGTGTTTAGAATAAAGCTGGAGCTCAATGACTATTGATTGACTGAATTCATCAATACCCATGTCAGACCCTGTTTGACAGTCCAATTAGATGTCCCTTCCCTCCTTAGAGTGAGGATCATTGAACTTGACCTGAGTCCAGTCCTGCTCCATCTCTGGAACTAGTCCTAATCTTGGGAAGGAAAGAGTTTAAAATGATGGGGAGCCCAAGAGGCTTTCACGTTGTTGACAAACTGAGATTTCTGTTTCTCTTTTGCCACAACACTTAAAAATGGCAGGACAGGTTTTCACCAAATTTGCTAGTTATATTTGGGATGCTCTGACTTAAATATGGACTATGAAAATCAACAAAAAATTAATTTTGGAAGAACCTAGAGAACAACTCAAAAAAAAATAGCTTATTATCTTAAACAGATCGACTGAAATTGAGGAAGGAAGAGAACCCTAGTCTAGATGCCAGCTAATCACACAGACTAAGATACTGTAAACCAAGTAACAAATAGTGGTTTCACACCTAAGGCACAAATCAAGTCACAGGATAGATAATATAAATCGTAGGCAATGATTTGCCATCCAGCTGCTTCTCAGACGGTATCTCTATGCAGCATGCTCCTGGCAGAGGAGAGCAAGGATTCACTTGTTAATTGGTGGGGAATGGTTTTCCTGGGCAGCTCAGAGTAAATCAGATGAGTATAAATAATAATTACAGCTATCACTTATTAAGGAATTATTATGATGTTCCAGACACATGCAATATCTTGTTCAACCCTGACAACAACCCTGTGAGGGAGGAATTATTGTTATCCTTCTTTTAAAGATGAGGAAAGTGGGATTCAGAGACGTTAAATGACTTGAACAGGGTCACTCAGCTAGAAAATGGTAGAATAAGGTTCAAACCCAGGTTGCCCAATTTCAGGATCCAGCCCTGACCTCGGATTTAGTTACAGTAGGGGAACTCCATCTTGTCTATTGGGCCTGAGCTAACTAGATGGACCTCAGTACCTCTGGGCCTGGGGCTCTGCCTTGAGCTTCCTCTGTAACATCTCATCCCATCTAAGAGCATTAGAACCCTACCCATAGACTTAATGGCCTGACTGAGACTGGTGGAACCCCGGAAAGCATGGCCCCCGGATTCTCTACCAGCCCAGAACTAAAACAATTTCCGAGGCCAACTCTCCAGACAGGGATCGGACTGGACTGTGGAACATAAAGTGATATTTGTGAGGAGTGTGCCTCCTGGCTCAAGTAGATACAAGAGACTGAATAGGCAGCTTCTGTCCGGAGGAGAGATGGGAAAGCAGAGAGGGTCAGGAGCTGGTTGAATGGACATGGGGCATCAGGCGTGGAAAGGAGGAGTGTGCTGTCACAGTGTGGAGAGAGCAACTGGGGTCACATAACAATGTATGTATAAATTTTTGTATGGGAGACTAACTTGAAATGTAAACTTCATTTAAACTACAACAATAAAAAAAGAAAAGAATCCTACCCACACCCCTACAAACACCCATCTGCTAACAACAGTCTCCCCTGAACTCTACTATAAATGCACAATTTTGCTGTATTAGCTTAACCTTCAGCGATTTGTCTGCATCCACTAATTTTCTGAAATAAGCAGACATCAGTAAAAAACAGACAAATCTAGGTGAAGAATCACAATTAGATAAAGAACTGTACTTCAGGCAAACAGCCAATTCATTCTGCACGGCCTCTTTCTAATAAACATAGTAGTGATGATGGAAAGCAATGTCTGGGAAAAATAACATCTGCCATAAACCAGGGAGACAAATACCTTTGGCCATCTCAAAGTGGAATGTTAAGTCTCTGAATTTGGTAATATAAAGTTATTAACTCTTCAAGTGCCAAAGAGATGTTGACAGCTTGTCTTCCTTTTTAGGAATATTTCTTGCTGCCAATGTAAGCTCACCTTAAATTTTCAAACCAATTGTGGCAACTGATGCACTTGCCTTTCTAAAAGAAAATCTTTACAAAGAACTGGGAGGCAGCAGGTATCATCTGTACAGGCCCTGACAGGTTAAGGATAGCAGTAGCTACTCGGGTGCTGGTACATGTTTAACAACTGGCTCTCTGGAGGAAAATCGAGGTGGGGTGGGGGTAGGGGGGGTGGAAGCCCTGATTTGTAGCATTTGCTGATTTCCATGGTGTAAATACTCTCACTGTGGTGGATTTCAAGCTATTAACTTGGCTAATGAATACAAAGTTTGGGCAAAGATGCATGTAGCCAGCTCTCAGGTACTGGTGTGAGCAGGCTTCAGGCCACTGCCAGCAATCGCTAATATTTCTTGGCTACACACAATGTGCCAGGGATGTACTAAGTGCTTCATAGTCATCCTCTTTGAATTCTTACAACAGGCCAATGGGATAATGTTATGGATTGAATTGTGTCCCCTAAAAATGAGTGTGAACTTGGCTAGGCCATGATTCCCAGTATCGTGTGACTGTCCACCATTTTGTTATCTGATGAGATTTTCCTCTGTGTTATAAATCCTACCTCTGTGGTGTTAACGAGGCAGGATTTGAGGCAGTTATGTTAATGAGGCAGGACTCAATCTACAAGATTAGGTTGCACCTTGAGTCACTCTCTTTTGAGATACAAAGCAGAGAAACAAGCAGACAGGGGGACCTCCTACCACCAAGAATGAAGAACCAGGAGGGGAGTGTGTCCTTGGGACTTGGGGTGCCTGCACTGAGAAGCTCTTAGACCAGGGGAAGTCTGGTGACAAGGACCTTCCTCCAGAGCCGACAGAGGGAGGAAGTCTTTCCCTAGAATAGGAACCCTGAATTTGGACTTCTAGCCTCCTAAACTGTGAGAAAATAAACTTCTGTTTGTTAAAGCCATCACTTGTGGTACTTCTGTTATAGCAGTACTAGATGACTAATACAGGTAAGTACTATTTTATCCCCATTTTACAGATGAGAGGAGACTAGGCCTTGGAGAGGTTTACCTGGGAAATTTCACACTCTTCAAGACCTGTGTCAGATTTCCCTCCTTACTAAAGACTTTTCCATCTCCCCCAGAATTAAGTTATTCCTCAAATACACTTTTCTTATAAAACTTTTGTTTTTTCTCCCTTACAAAATAAATATATGCTCATTACAGAATACAGAAAACATAGAACAGAAAGAAAAAAAAAGCTCGTGGTCCCACCTCCCACCCACATCACTTGATCCATATTTGTATTATTGGATTCATTCACTGCCGTGTACAATGATTACCTATTTATATGTGTTTCACCTCCAGCAGACTATGAGCTCCTCCTGGACAGACATCATGTGTTACATTTGTATCTACCTTTCACTGGTCCCCTACTCCACCTCCATCCCTAGCACAACACCCAGCACATGGTAGCCCCCCCAATTCATGTGAATGCCTTATTATAATGTCTTCTGATTCATAAAAGGAAACCCTGGGTCTTTCATGTTTATCGTCAAAGCTGTCCTAATCTTAACTAACGTCGGTTTTCTTCATTTGTCTTCTGAACACATATGACTACGCTCCCATTGTCCTGAGCGAGGAAGAATAGGGCCATTCCAGCAGGTGCCTGTCCTTACCTGCATTCCTCTCATCTTCTGGAACCGTGCAATGGTGTCGCTGATGGTGTAGACCCGCACATGGCCCATGTGCAGCTTGCCAGAAGGATACGGAAACATGGAAAGTACGTAAAACTTGGGCTTTGATTCCTAGGGAAGAATGACAAGCCAATGAGTATTTATTAAGCATTTACTCAGAACCCTACACACCCATAATATTTTTGAAACTTTATTCAAGGCAATAACTTAACATTTTAAAGGTTCCTTTAAAAAAAAACAAAAAACAAACTTTTCCCATAAAGTGAACGGACAAAAATGTCAAAAACCAAAATTCGAAGTCCTGGTTAAGGGAAAAGAATGTCCAAAATAATGCCAAACCACCTCAAGTCACTAATTACCCATACATATTTTTAATCTTTCTTTTAATGTTTTTCTTCTTCTTTTAAAAAAATGGTTCTTTAAGATCACTTCTGTCTAGGTCTAAAAGAACTACATGTGTTTTCCAAATGAAGCTCTAACACATATACCCATATAATTCAAGCAAACAAGAGTTAAATCACATGGCCGTGACATCTCTATTAAAAATGGAGCCCCTTCTAAAACTCTCTGTAGCTACATTCAGACTTGGATTTAGTAAGAGCAGGATGCTCAAGCACCAGTGTGGCTCCTGAGTGTCCCTGATGTAGTACGAGCTTATCTTTCAACAGTGTCTTAGTCATCTAGTGCTGCTACAACAGAAATACCACAAGTGGATGGTTTTAACAAAGAGAAGTTTATTTCCTCACAGTTAAAGGAGGCTAAAAGTCCAAATTCAGGGCATTGCTCCAGGGGAAGGCTTTTTCTCTCTGTCGGCCTTCTTCTCTTTGGTGTTCCCCCGGACTAGGAGCTTCTCTGCGCAGGGACCCCGGTCCAAAGGATGCGCTCTGCTCCCGGCACTGCTTTCTTGATGGTATGAGGTCCCCAATTCTCTGCTTGCTTCCCTTTCCTTTTATCTCTTGGGAGATAAAAGGTGGTGCAGGCCACATCCCAGGGAAACTCCCTTTACATTGGATCAGGGATGTGACCTGGGTAAGGGTGGTGTTACAATCCCACCCTAATCCTCTTTAATGGAAAATCACAATCACAAAATGGAGGCCAACCCCACAGTTCTGGGAATCATGGCCCAGCCAAACTGATACACACATTTTTGGGAGGACATAATTCAAACCATGACAAACAGAAAAGGCAAGTAACAAGAAAATCTGAGACAATGACGTGAAAAGTTTGTTTTCTTCCGGGCGTGAGATGTAGGCAACCTCAGACCAGGATTATTTAACTCTCCAGCTTCCCAAGCAGCAGCTCTGTCATGAGAAACACAAGAACTGTACCTGTATCCGAAAGGGTGAACACAGGGCAGGGAGTCCCTGCTGGACCACTGACTGTCAGCCCCTTAGCTCCGCCACAGGTAAAATGGGGACTGTTGTCACAATTCATGCGCATGAGGGGGTACGGCTCCAAAGAAAAGGTGGTATTTATTTGATTCCGCATGGGTGGACAAGCTGTTCAAGAGCAAGGACTGTGTCTTAATCACCTCTTTCTCCTCCACCAGTAGGGGATTAGTAACTGTTAGACAAATGTTTGCTGGCCTTTGTGCTCTGAAAAGTTGATAATGGGCTTCTGTGGAGCACTTATTACTGAAAGGCATTTACTCAGCAAACATCGCAAACCCCGTCCAGGTAATAGGTGTGTTCCCCCTAAACCAGTTGCCTCTGATTCAATTCCAACTCATGCGTGTCAGAGTAGGATTGGGCTCCACACAGTTTTCAATGGCTGATTTTTCAGAAGTAGATCACCAGGACTTCTTCTGAGGTACCTGTGCATAGACTCAAACCTCCAAACTTTAAGTTAGCAGCTAAGTGTGCAGTTTGCACGCCTCCCCCTCCCCCGACTGGGGACTACTCAGGGTCTTAAATCTTCCCCTGGGGGTCCTCTGCAGAAAGAGCAATAGGTAACTCCTCCTGTTTGGCCATCGAGGGTCGGGAGGGACCACCTGCTATTATCACTATTTACTCCTGCCATCTTCAGTTTTTCTCTTTCTGTCTTGCTTCTCTTCCAAGAGCTTTACTAGAGTTCTTTAAGGTTTTGCTCCTCCCAAAGCAATGAAAACAAATTCAAAGCAGAATATTCACACCCTTCTTTTGGGTGTGTATGGGGGGCTATATTTTTTGCTAAGTATTTGAGTGACCGATAATGCGTGTGTTTTTCTAGTTGGGTGTCGTCCAGTAGATTCTGACTCGTAGCAACCCCATAAGACAGAGGAGAACTGCCCTATAGGATTTTCTAGGCTGTAATCTTTTACGAGAGCAGATCGCCAGGTCTTTCTCCTGCAGCGCCTCTGGGTGAGTTCGAACCACCAACCTTTCAGTTAGCAGCTAAGTGCTCAACCACTGCACCACCAGGGCTCCTTGATAATGCACACAGCCAACTGCAATCAGGGGAGCAGGAGAAACCAGAAATCAGATTCTCCCCAAATCTTATTTAAGCCATTAATTTAACTTCCTTCAGCAATAAAATTAAACAAATCTGTAAGAGCCCCTAATCGGTAGCAAAATAAACTAGAGGGGGATCTTTTCTCTGTTGACCATCCTCTAGAAATTACCAACCAAAAAAAAAAAAAAACCAAACCCATTGCCATGGAGTTAATTCTGACTCATATCGACCCTATAGGACAGAGCAGAACTGCCCCATAGGGTTTCCAAGGACCGGCCAGTGGATTCGAACTGCTGACCTTTTGGTTAGCAGCCTGAGTTCTTAACCACTGTGCCACCAGGGCTCCAAGGAGTGGTTAAGTAAAGCTGCCTGAAAGAAGAAAAGAAAGGGAATAAATAAGGAATCTAGATCACACACAAACTAGAAAATCATCTTGAAGGCTGACATGATAGCTGAGACTGCTTTATATAAACAGGATGGGAAGCAGCACATTGATTACAGGTTTTAATGGGAAATCGCAGATTCATAACTCTTCAGAAAACCCCAGGAGTGACAGAGAGGCCCTGAAGTCTGTATTTGTAACCAGAGATTAGATCTGGGGTGGGTGGGGACTCAGGACTTAATAACAGTCTTCAGGAAGGTGAGTGAGCAATAATCTACTCAGCTTGTAAACAAGTGCCTCAAAGGAGGTGCAAGATCTTATTGTGTTAGCACAGAAAGTGAAGTAAGAAATTGTCCACTCTATTCAAACCTTCCTCCTTTTTGCTATGGATTTGGCCTACTGCCTTTCTTTTGGGAATTTTTAGGGGTATGGGAAAACAGCTGTTACAGAGTTCTTCGGGAGCTAAAAAAAAGGTAAGAATCCTTGATATAAGCTTTTTCTTGTTTTTCATTTTAAAGTTTTCACATTAAAATCGTTTTTCCTTTTATTATAATCACCTTGATTTTATTATATTGATTTTTTGTACATTATGTTTATTTAACAATCAATCATGCCCCAAACAATTTCCACTACAGCTTCTTCACTAGCATCTCCTTTTGGTATGTTTGTTCAGTAAAGATTAAATTAATAGTGAACTCCGATGGTCCAATACATACTAGCTAGGCCAAACTCCAAAACCGAGTTTATAAAAGACATATAGAAAAGCACTGCTAGCAAAAGTCATTAACATTCATGAACATTTCTGTTTATTTGGGAAAAGGTATTCAGCTTACTGCCTACCCCCGCCTTTGCTTTTCTATGTGAATTCAGTCATTTCTCTCTGTGACAATGAAATGAGCTCTATCTCCTGGGAGTGGAAAGGAGAGAAGGAATTATGGGGGTCTCTGTGATAACTGAGCAGGCATCTGATTGAAAGGGAAATTTTCATGATTATATGCAAGCACACGGATTCAAGTCTTTAAAAGAAATTAAGATTTTAAGCGATAAGGAAAAGATGGTTTTTATAGTTAGGTCCTATTGTTTTTGTCAGCTTCTGACTTCAGGAGAAAGATGACGTCTGCCCCTTTATAGATCATGCTCTGAAGCTGCTGCAGAGCCTAAAGTGGGGCAGAGAGGGAGCACCTCAATAGGAGTCCGCAGCCCTAGTTCTGTCCTAGCTTGGCCGCCAGCTGTGAGACCCCAGGCAAATTCTTTTGTCTTTCTGGGCTCAGTTTACATCTGTAACTCAAAGGTGAGGCAAAAGAAGGTTCTGGGTGAATGCATGAGCCCCGGAATCAGACGTGTCTGGGTTTGAATCCTGGCTCTGCTTCATGCTAGCTGTGCCTCTTGGCAAATTATAAACCTCTCTCTGAGCCTCACTTTTCTTACCTGAAAAATGAGAATAATAATAATTCCCATTCTTCAGGTCGTTTTAAGGAGTAAATGAGATAGTGAATGGAAAGACGATGACACGTAGTAAAATGCTCATTAAGTGAAAGGTTTTTTTTATGATGATGATTATGGTGCTGATATGGAGCCCTGGTGGCACAACGGTTAAGCACCTGGCTGCTAACCGACAGGCTGGCAGTTCAAACCCACCCAGTGGCTCTCTGGAAGAAAGGACCTGGCAATCTGCTCCCATAAAGATTATGGCCTAGAAAACTATATGGGGCAGTTCTACTCTGTCACATGGGGTCTCTGTGAGTTGGAATCAACTCCACAGCACCCAACAACAAGAATATGACGCTGATGGCAAGACATTCAAACTCTAAAAACTCATTTGAGTAGATTTTAAATGTGTCTAATAACCGAGTGGGGGTTCCTGGGTGGCGCAAACAGTCAATGAGCCCAGCTGCTAACTGAAAGGTTGGAGGTTCAAGTCCACCCAGAGATGCCTTGAAAAAAAGGCCTGTGATCTACTTCTGAAAAATCATGAGTCAAAACTGACTCAATAGCAACTGGTTTAATACCTGAGTGAGGTTGGTTATAAATACTTCAAATCTCCCAGCACTCAGTCACATTCTCAGTTCTAATAAAGACACACCCTCGCATATCTTTTATTTATATAACACTTCAGTTTGCTGTAAAATGTCTTCAGCCGCATTTTCTCATTTGATTTTCACAATTCTGTGAAATAATGCAGAGACTTACTTTCCAATGAAGACTCTGAAGATCAAAGAGAAATGACGTGACCAAGATCACACCGATTTCTTGTGGCACAGCCCATATTACAGCCCAAGTCTCCAGATTCCTCTAGAATGCTCTCCACTTGACCATCTTCCAAGCCAAACCCTGATAAAGTGCCACCAGGCAATCACACACAGTATCCCTTAAACTACTTCCCCAATTATCGAAGCATAGTTTATTTCGATCCATTTTAATTTGTTTTAAAAAACACGCTCATGAAGGATAAAATGTCAAAAAATCAGTAAGCAACAACTTCAAAATGTTTGGAAGTCACTAAATTATAATCTAAACCCCAATCAAAAAATAAAAAAGAAAGAAAAACAGAAAAAAGATTCGTTTTTTTCTTCTACTCTCCTCACTCAGAATTAAATTGCTCCCTAGAGTTTGTTTCCAAACTACATTTAGGTAAATTAGGCTGGTCACCTTGACATGAAAGCTTTTCACTTCCTAAAGAAGTCAAAGTTTTCATCCTACAATTATACATTCCATTCCAACCTAATTTTATTTTACTTGTTATACACTGTATCTCTCTGAATACCAGATTTACTTTCTAACCAATGTCCAAAACCATCCATCGGTTTAACAGAAATAGCCTCCTCACATTTTTTATAAGGACCAATCTCAGAGAAAGAATCTGATAACAGAAGAGAATCAGAAGATGGAAAAAGAGGTTCTAGTGAAGTGGGTGGCACACATGGTTAAGTTCTGCACTACTAACCAAAAGGTTAGCGGTTCAAACCCCCCCACAGGTACCTCAGAAGTAAGGCCTGGTGATCTACTTCCGAAAGATCCCAGCCTTGAAAACCCTATGAAGCAGTTCCACCCTGCACACATGGGTTCGCCGTGAGTCAGAATGGATTTGACCGCAACTAACAACAAGAAGTGAAATGGGGTTTTATGCAGTTAGACTTACACAACTGCTTACCTTTGGCCTAATCTCTTTAATTAAACATAGAAGGCCTGTGTTATTTGTCTGGTAACTATTACAGAGGGAAAGTCAGAATTTAAGAGTAAAACTCGATCTTCCAGTGCTTTGCTCTGACCAGATTCAACATTTAATGTAACAAATGACATCTCCCATTTGTCACTGTGACCAATATCGAGAGGAAAGGGTTAAGGTGTCCAAGACTGATGTCCGGCAGGCTGGCCTCCCAGAGAAGGAGCCAACTGGCCTTCTGCAGAGCATTCCATGGAAACTGGCCACAGACAGGTACTTTAGACAATTCATCCAGGTAGAGTATGGAGCTGGTTCATCAGAACCAGAGGTCATGGGTCCACTAACTCATTCAGCTACAACTGCAAGGTTGGACCCTAGACCCTGAACACACCAGTGCAGAGGCTGGTATACCCCAAACCATGATGCTGAGGTGGCAGAACAGGGTTGGAGACCAAGGTCATACAGGGGAGGGGTGGGTACATCTCAGAACATGCAGCTTAAAAGTTCCACAGCTGAGGGGCCCAGATCCATGGCTGACCCTGCCAGATCTCTGGGTGCTGCTTCACCATGCAGTGGGCCGTGATGGGTCCAACACCTGCTATCGCTCCTGTCTAGGTAAGTTTCCCCCAGTAAATGTTGCTCCAGAATGCCTGGTGTGGGCACTGTCTGGCATCCACCTTGTATGCACAACACTACTATACACAGCCACTCATCGGCAAAGCTTCTCAGCACTATCCTCGTATCATCTCATTTACCCCTCCAGGTATCCTAGGAAGTAGGTGGGCACTATTACTGCTACCCTCCATTTTAGATAAGAAAACCAAGCACAGGGAGCTTCGGTAGTTTGGTTCAAGGTCACATACTTAGTAAGTTATTTGAACTTAGGCAGTTTGACCAGAGCCCCAGCCCTTAGTGCCTCTTCTCGCCCCTTTCAGAATCTCTCAGAGTACTCACGTCGGGGTCTGAAATTTTGGAGACCTGTTCTTTTATTCGTTGATGCCACCATTTCTCCACGTCCTTCCTGGTCTGTAATGTATACTCCTTCGTCCACTCTCCCGTAACACTGTAAATACTTCTGGCACATTCTGGAATTACTCTCCTTTCCCACTTGATGACATCTGGCCCGCCAGTTATCTGCCTTTTCAGAAGAGATGCATAAAGAGCAAGTCTCTGCCAAGCAGAGGCCATTCTTCGGAAGGCAGGAAGGCCCTGAAAGAGAGGGCAAAAAAGTCTAATCAAAGGCTGCCCGGAAACCTCTTGTGAGCTTGTCCTCACACTCAGCACAGCCCCGGTGCTCCGGGCCCGTTCATATGCTTTCCTCCTACTCTTTAATGCTGGCCTTCCCTGAAAAGAATACTTTAGAAGTTAAATTGAGCTCAGTACCAACATTCTAATGGAAAACATAAAGGCGATCGGTGCCCCTAAAATACCAGAGACACAAAACCCACAGAGGGTCAAATGGAGGCCACCACCTGGCCAGCTCCTGCCACAGCCTTCTGGGTTGTGTGGGAGGCCACGGCATCCCTTCTCCCCTTTCCTTTGAGGCCAGCCCAGGGTCTGACCAGCAGGCCTCACTTTCCATCCCTCCAGAAGAGCTCCAAGTACATCATGGCTTGGGCTCAGGCTCAAATATCAGAAGGGGTCCCAGGAGGACTAGAGACCCAACTATTGTTAGTATTGTTTTATACATATGATGAGTTAGATATACCTCTATAGGCTGAGCCAGGAAATAACCACTATTTAGAAGACTGTTAATTAATTTACTAAATGTTTACTGAGTGCCACTGGATCCACACACTGTCCTCTACACTAAAGAGACAGCAGGAACAAAAACAAAGAGTCCTTTCTTTCACGGTGCTTACACACTAGTAAGAAAAAGCAGACAAGACACAAATAAATGAATGCTCTAATGTCTAGCGTGGTTAGTGCTATGAAGGCAAGTAAGCAGGGTGAGAGGATCAAGAGTGGACACTAGAGGGGTCAGGGAAGGAAGGCCTCTTTATTGACCATTGATTCCCAGAAACTGAACCAAATTTCATGTAGTTTTTTGGAACCCAAGCTATAGGTTGAGCCCACTAGAATATCCAGTTGCGATTCAAAATTCAGTTTTAATGTTTCATTGGTTTTCTTCATAGGTAAATTCCAGAAATGACTTCGTTGAAGAAGTTTCAAGTTCTATCACTGTTTAAAGGGCTGAGGGAAGATTTCATTAAATAGTTAAGATTTATGACTAAATGGCCTCCACTTTCTGCCATTTTTCATAACAGCATTCAGGAAGTGCTACAGTGAGGAAACAGATGAAAACAGACCTTTTAAAACCAAGAGAGAAATAAAGGAAGAACCTGGCACCCGGAACTCGTATCGATTCTTTGAGTCTCTCAAAATTCTTCCCACATCTACTAGGATCTGACTTGTTGCACAAAGACACTGGATCATGGATGTTGCCAAACCAAACCAAATCCATTCCCACTGAGTGAATTCTGACTCATAGCGACCCTATAGGACAGAGTAGAACTGCCCCATAGGGTTTCCAAGGAGCAGCTGATGGATTCAAACTGCCAATCTTTTTGGTTAGCAGCTGAGCTCTTAACCACTGTGCCACCAAGGCTCCATGGATGTTGCCAGGAAGGCTAATTATAGGCTATTAAAAGTGGGTTTCATACTCACATAAAATGGCATCACAGTGTTGGCATTTTACAAGTTAGTCTGCCAAAGTTGTTCACATACCAGTCCTCACTGTATTTAACACCCCTTGCTTCTTTGGGGGTGGAGTCAAAGACAGACTTAAAAAAAGAAAAAATCTCCCCATCATTTAGAATTAGTGATTTTAAAGTGTGTAGATAAAGATGTAGATATCTGGGTGAACCATATGCCATCTGTTGACTATCAACAATTCCATATGACCAACCTCATATATGTACACTTTATATAATAAGGAGGGGAACCTGGGTGGCACAAACAGTTAAGCACTTGACTGCTAACCAAAAGGTTGGCAGTTCAAACCCACCCAGAGGCACATCAAAAGATAGGCCTAGTGATCTGCTTCCAAAAGGTCCTGGCAATCAAAATTCTATGCAGCAGGTCTACTCTGCACACATGGGATTACCGCTGAGTCGAAATCAGCTGACGGCAAGAACAATAACAACATATGAAATTTGTCAAATATCAGCACTTCCACGTGACCAACCTAATATATGCATACTTTATACGATAAGACCAATTGCATTTATTTGTAAGGGTTGGGTTTGTTATATGATTTGAGCTATCCACAGGAGTCATAGATTTTTTTCCTCGCTAAGTCAGCATTTCCATAGCTTGGCAAGCCAAAGAATGCCAGTTTAGCAGAAGGAGATGTCTGCCACTTCTCTCCTAGGCAATGTTCCCTAAGAACACATAAGGAGAGTGTTCTGGGCTATCGTCTCAAGTAGCAACAACGGGAAACAACAAAATTATAAAAAATACAAATTGACCAGAACTGTAGTCTCACAATTTTTGGTTTTAATGCTATAACCAGAATTAGCCATTGTGACCAACGAAAACAGCAAAGAGCACAGACAAATGAACATTATGACCCATATAGGGAACATCAGTCTCTCACTTAAAATTCCCACCCTGTCTCTCTAATTTACTTACTCTATATACCAAATCATAAGCCACATCTAACAACCCTCCCTGCCTACACAAGAACAAGGTGTCCAAAAAGGTTTACGTAATGCTGGGCTCACTAATAACTTTTAATAACTAATAACATAAAGCAATGGAATCGACTAGAGAACCCTGAAACGGGCCTGGGTGATTAGAAGAATTTAAAGTTGATAAAGAAAGAAGCATAAGCAGATTGTAAGTGATAGATTATTCAATGAACAGGAAAAAAAGTCAAATCAGAGCCTCCCTCAAACCTTAAACCGAAGTAAATCCCAGACAGATTAAAGAACTGTTTTTAAAGTATCACAAAACAGGAAGAAAATACCAATGAGTATTTAATAAATCTTTAGGAGGTGCAGGACGTTCAGTCCTGAGCATAAAAGCAATGGAAGGATTCACAAAAGAAAATGCTAGTAAATCCGACTAAGTAAAAACGTAAAAGTTCTAGACATCAAGAACATCGTCAACAAACTAAAAAGAAAACAACAGCCTGGGAGAAAATGTTTGCCAAAACAGTGACAACAAAAGCTTATCCTACTCTGTAATTTGCACGTGAGTTCACACATGAGAAGAGAAACACTGAAACGTAGTTTAAAAACTGGGCAAACGAAAACAGGAAAGAGGAAATACAAATAGCTAACAAACGGACGGACGCAGTAGCTGCAACAATGGGCTCAAACATAGCAACGATTGTGAGGATGGCATAGGATTGGGCAGTGTTTTGTTCCGTTGTGCATGGGGTTGCTATGAGTCGGAACTGACTCAACCACACCTAACAAACGCAACAATAAATACATTTAAAAAAATAAAAATTTTATATAAAATATATTTAAAAAGATCAACTTCGCAACTAATCAAAGAAATGCAGATTAAGACAACAATGAAAAGAGGGAGTTATAAAAAAATGAAAGATTTGCAAAAAATTGTTCAATGAAAAGAAATAGCATTTTTATACACTTCTGGTGGGAATGTAAACTGATTCCACCTCTCTGGGGAGCAATCTGGCAATGTGTCAAGGCTCTTTAAGAAAAGTTCACATTCTTTGTGTTGAGGTCCCCAAGATCACCCCCAGAGTCGATGATTTGTGTGGAGTACTCACAGGACTCAGCATACAGTCATACTCATGGTTACAATTTATTACAGTGAAAGGATGGTGTTGTTAGGTGTGGTTGAATCGATTTTTGATTCATAGTGACCCCATATGACAGAGTAGAACTGCCCCACAGGGTTTTCTAGATTGTAATCTGTACAGAAGGAGATCGCCAGGTCTTTCTCTCTAGAAGCCGCTGGGTAGGTTTAAATTGCTAACCTTTCAGTTAGCAGCTGAGAGCTTAACTTTAGCAAGCAAAGTTGCGTCATCTGCATACTGCAGGTTGTTAATGAGTCTTCTTCCAATCCTGATGCCATGTTCTTCTTCATATAGTCCAGCTTCTCTGATTATTCGCTCAGCATACAGACTGACTAGTTATGGTGAAAGGATACAACCCTGACGCACACCTTTCCTGATTTTAAACCACGCAGTATCCCCGTTCTGTTCGAATGACTGCCTCTTGGTCTATGTACAGGTTCCTCATGAGCATAATTAAGTGTTCTGGAATTCCCATTCTTATCAATATTATCCATAATTTGTTATGATCAACACAGTCGAATGCCTTTGCATAGTCAATAAAACACAGGTAAACATCTTTCTGGTATTCTGGAAGTTATTTGTTACCCTGAAGTATAGGTGATATACACACATGGTAAAAAACTCAAAAAATGTTTAAGTCCCATTCCCCCCCACAGTCACTCATTTCCCCTCCCTGGAGACAACAAATGTTACTAGGTTCTTCTATATCCTTCCAGACACATTCTATGCATTTGCAAACATAGACAACACACATATGCACTCAGGTATATTCAGTCATCTTCTCGGACTCACACATATGTTAGCATATTCTACTCACTGCTTGGCACCCTGAGTGCCTCATTCTTAACTACAAAAGGACAGCCATGGATCTCAAGATAGCAAAGAAAGTCTGCAACCTGACGGAGCCTAACTGAAACAAACTTAAAAAAATACTCAGGAATTCTTGCATCGTGAGAAAAACCTACAAATTGTCTACAAATTAAATGAAATTTTATGTTTATTAAATTTAAAAGTTAAGTAAATTGACGTAGTGTTATATTTGGTAAACATTTACTCAAACGTTGATTAATTTCAATTTTCATACACTGCAGCAATTTCTTAAAGAGGCCCTTGAAGTGCTCAAAATGCATTAATAGCCCCTGACAGATAAAATGGCCTTGCCGGTCCTTGCCTTGCAAAGCAGTGAACAAACATCAACTTAGCACGCTGCCTCTGAAAGGTTCACCTCTATCATATGCTTTCAGCTGCTGCATCTCCAAGTAACGATTAGGTTGTCCTCTGGGGATAGTGCTCAGGGTCCTTGGGAGACCTCCCAAACTCTTCCCAGCCCACTTTGGTCTACTTCCTGCACCCTCCACACCAAAATGGCACCGGAATTTTCAACTGTCCTACTTCATTATCGTATTTTCTCAGACCATCAAGTCACACAACGAAACAGCAAGAAACTGATTTTCTGGCCAAGTTAAGACTAGACAGAAGTTATGGGGCAGGAGATTCATAAACCACTTATTTAGAGATAAGTATAAAGTCACCTAACACAACTTAACCTGAACTTGCCTCCTCCAAAAAAAAAATAGAATTAGGATAGAAAGTCAGTGGGATAGATTGTTTCTTTCTTATAACCCAAAATATAAAGAAAATCCAATTATGACCCTGAAGAACTTAAAAGCTTTTGAAACTAACACACACTATGTTTCAATCTTGCAGTTACTGAAAAAAATGACACTGCTACCATTGAGTCAGTTATTGATGGAATATTAAGAATTTTAATATGTAAGAATACAGAACAAGGGTCACCAAATTGTGACTGACGAGCCACATCCAAAGTCTATTTTATTATTGTTTCCTAATTGACTTATAAAAAACGACTCACATATATATGAAACTATTATCGGTGGTTACATCTGGGAAGGTGGATTACAGGACATTTCTACTTCTGGTATATTTATTTTTTATTTCTGTAATAGTTGAATAAATAATAACAATGAATATACATAACTTTAAGTATTTGAGAAAGGACTTATTTTTATACAGGATCAAATTGACAGCAGCAACTGGAAAGATTAAATAGGAAACTTAGGGGGCAGTGGTTTTATGTCAATAGAAGAGGAACAACTCAGAAAAGGAGGGTGAGAATGTTTATACAACTTGAAGAATGTAATCAATGTCACTGAATTTTACATGCAAAAATTGTTGAACTGGTGTATGTTTTGCTGTGTATATTCTCAACAAAAACAAAATAAATAAAATTAATTTTAAAAAAATAAATAAAGGACTTATTTAAAAAAAATAAACCGTAGATACTACCGACCATTCTGACCAGGGACAAAAGAGAAGGTCTCGGTTAGAATGGGAGAAAAATGTAGGACAAAGCTCAAATTCGTAAAAAAAGACCAGGCTTACTGGACTGATAGAGACTAGAGGAACCCACGAGACTATCGCCATAAGATACTCTTTTAACCTGGAACTGAAGCCACTCCTGGCTGTCATCGTTCAGCCAAGTAATAGATTGGCCTATAAAATAAACAACAACATCAGCGAGGAATGTGGTCCTTTAAACAATCACACATACGAGACCAAACAATCAACATTACCCAGAAGCAAAGATGAGAAGGCAAGGAGGGGCAGGGAAACTGGATGGACAGAAACAGGGCAGACAGGTGGAAATGGTGATAGTGCTGACACATTGCAGGGACGGTAACCAATGTCATGGAACAATATGTGTATAAATTATTGGATGGGAATCTAATTTGTTGTGTAAACTTTCACCTAAAATACAATAAAATATTAAAAAAAAAAAAAAAAAAAAAGAAAAAACCATAGACCCGTAGAACTGAAAACCAAAACCAAAACCAAAACCAAACCCATTGCTGTCGAGTCGATTGTGACTCACAGCGACCTTATCTGACAGGGTAGAACTGCCCCATAGGGTTTCCAAGGCTGTAATCTTTACAGAAGCAGACTGCCACATCTTTCTCCTGCGGAGTGGCTGGTGGGGTCTAACTGCCCACCTTTTGGTTAGCAACCAAGTGCTTTAACCACTGCGCCACCAGGGCTCACAGAACTGAAGGGGGCCTTAAAAAACTCGTCAAGAGTATATTTTGACTCTCAATTGAGACCTCAATAGATCAATTGCAAATTCAACATGTATTAAGTAGTGGAGAGCTCGGTGTAAGTGGTAAACTGAGTGGAAATCAAGTAAATGAACTTCCTGAGGCTCAGCTCTATTCTCTTCCTCTACTTCCTAAGCCCTGCTCTAGGCATGTCCCATTACACCTCCATCAAAGCCCTAATGGGCTCTGCCTCTTGCTGGTATCAAGGAGCACCGGTTTAATTAGAGGACTGTGAGTCCAGTCTCAAGGGATAAGATGGATACGAAAGGTGTGGCTCTTGTCCTGCACTTAGGATAAGGTTGGCCCTTTTCTTTCTCAGCTCTAGCTCCTTCAATTCCTTCCCTGAATGCTTGGAATCTTGTCTTTTCTTCAATCTTCTTCCAAAGCATCACTCCCCACTACTCACCCCTCTTCAGTCAGCCCTGACCCCAACCTCACCTGGGGCGTACTGCTGAGGTTTGAGAATGATGAGGGTAGTAGCACGTGGCCAGAGAAGGAGGGGCCTAAGGAATGGACCCAAAATGACAAGCACGTATGGGCAGAGATACCTAGGTTTTGTGACAAAAAAATACATACATCTTGGCTTCTGCAATTACTAATTGTGTGTGTGACCTCAAGCAATTTCCTCTCGGAACCTCAGCTTTCCTCTCTGTAAGATGAGGGGTAGAACCAGGTGATCTCTGAGGACCTTCGAGTCCTAACATGCCTTGGCAATGATCTGTGGGCACAGAGATGCGCTGAATGATGTTTAACTGGGTCCAAATCCCCAGCCCAAGAAGCAGAAATCCAAGGACGAACTGGGTGAGGGAGAGTAGGAGCCAACTTGTGCGCAAAACTATGTGTACACGTGCGTTCTTCCGGGAAAGAGTTCAGAGCTATCAACGGGGTCCATGACTCAAAGAGCCTGAAAACTAGATCTCAAGAGTCTTTTTCCAGTTCGGAAATTGCACGGCTCCGGGACCACCTAACCCAGCCCACACCTTCCTTTTCTGCCTCCAATAAGTCCGAACCTCCCCATCCGGGTGACAGGAGATCGCGCCTCGTGTCTCGTCTGGCTGAGCCCCGGCCAGGGGGTTACCTGATCACAGGCTGTGGCCTGCGGCTCCTCCACGCCTCAGATCCTGCCTTTAGATAAGCACGGCCCGGACCGTCACCATGGGCGCTGCCATGTTGGCAAAACAACAACTTTATTGATAGCAGCCGCCGCAGACACAAACAGGCGCGGACACTGTCGGGGAAGGAAGAAGTGCCGCCCCGCCTCCGACTCCCAGCAGCCCGTAGGGCAGCGGCGTTTGCGTCGGGGCCGCAGGGTCCGCTTTGAGACCCAGGTCCCGCCCCCGGGAGCGGAGTCCTGCTGCTTTGGGCGCCGCCGTGCTGTTAGTGTTTGGCTTCAGTATAGCTCTGGACACCGGGGATCAGATTATTCCAGTTGAAGCAAACGTATAAAAGCAATTTAGTTAGGGGCCCCAGAATGAATTTATCGGCAGTTGGTGGAAAGAAGGCTGGTAAAGTCCAGAGCCCAGGGTTCGAATCCCAGCGTAGCTACTACCGTTTACTAGGCTTGGGCGGATTCCTTTCGCTCTTGATCCGTAACGGACCACATGATGGCTAAGCGCCTTCCACCATATTCCGTGATCTCGGGAGGGTAATTACCTGGCCAAGACTAGATTGGAAATAAAGTGTACTTTTCTCTCCTGATTTAAGTGGGCCGGGAGTCAGGAAAGCATGATGCCTGACCCATGACTTTCCTAGAGGAGTTTATGTGTCTCAGTACCCCATCTCCACCTCCGCAAGTGTTCCTCTCCTACTCCAGCTCTTTACCTGGGTGCTGTAAAGCTCCATGAAAAGAACTGCAAAGCACCAGTGATGTTAAATTACAATTTTCCAAAACAAGCAAAAGCTGTCCAGAGGTGAGTTTGAAGAACACATATACATAGGCTGTTTGGAATGCTGAAACGATCCTACTACTTGTGCAAAAGTGGTTGGTATCCTATAGGGCAATAAAAAATAATGTTTGGGAGCCGTATCTTTCTACCGGACTGAAATCAATCGTACCTCTACCAGGCAAAAATGTATCCCATTACTATTCGTATTTTACATCTTAGCTTGTACTCTTACAGAGCTGTAAAACAGCTAGTCAGTAGAAAGACAAGCAAAGGTCCACATTCCTATAGAAATCAGATAATCCCCAGACCAGCACTCCACGGAAGGAAGACACAGTAATTTCTCTCTCCCATTTCCAAGTCTTCATGACAAATTTTCCCAACAGTTCAAAATCCAAGAACCTTGCTCTTCAAAGTGTGATCTCCAGACCAGCAACAGCTTCACCTGGGAGCATGTTAGAAATATTGGATCTCAGGCCACGGAGGACTTGCTGATTCAGACTTTGCATTTTAACAAGATCCCCGGGTGATTCTTAGGCACATTGAAGTTAGAGATGAACTGTCCTAGAATAAGAGCTAGAAAGTATCTTGAACATTCTAGTCCATTCTGCAGATGAATAAACTGAGACCCAAAGGAGCTGGCTGTCTTGCTCAAGATCATACAGCAAGTTAGTAAAAGATTTGATATTCAAAACCGGGTCTCCAACCTGCCAGAACAGCGCCCTTCCCAAATTGCAGAATAGAAGATCCTAAGGAAGCTTAGACAACTTTCAGTCTACTCCCTTTACCTTAAAGATGAGGACACTGAGGTCTAGAGAAAGGACACAGCTTGCCTAAGATCACACAGCTAGTCGATAGCAGAGCCAGGATTCCAACACAAGTCTCTTGATCTCTCTACTCCCGAAATCCAATGTCCTGATACCCTGAAATCATTGATTCTTACGTTAACCTGCCACACTTAAAGTAATTTAACCTTCAGCTACATCATGCTACATCAATTTATAACTAGAGTGTCCCTTTCTCTAATTTATCCAAAATACTAAGTACTGAGTACTAAATAGCTTTCAGTCGCCTCATATGCATGCGAAAACTGGACAGTGGATAAGGAAGACCCAAGAAGAATTGATGCCTCTGAACTGTGATGTTGGCGAAGAATATTCAGTATACCATGGACTGCCAAAAGAACGAACAAATCTGTCTTGGAAGAAGTGCAACCAGAATGCTCCTTAGAAGCAAGGATGGTAAGACTACGTCTCACATACTTTGGACATGTTATCAGGAGGTATCAGTCCCTGGAGAAGGACATTATGCTTGGTAAAGTAGAGGGTCAGCGAAAAAGAGGAAGACCCTCAATGAGATGGATTGACACAGTGGCTGCCACAATGGGCTCAAGCATAACAACAATTGTAAGGATGGTGCAGGACAAGGCAGTGTTTCTTTCTGTTGTGCATGGGGTCGCTATGAGTCACAACAAACTTGACGGCACCTAACAACAACAAATAGCTTCCGTCCTTACTTTGGTTCAAAGAGTGTCTTTCCTCTTATGAATTAAAGCTAACGTTGACATTTCTAGGAGATTTTTCTAAAAGTCACTTGCTTTACTGGAAAGTTGCTATTTTTACATCAAAGAAGACAGTAACATGAAAGTAAATCCCTTTTTTACTCTTAAAGAACTTGCTGCAAAGATATATTATTAAATGAAAGAGACAAGGTGCTGGGCTGTGTGGAATGTTTTCCCATTTTTTATTTTTTAAAAAAGGAAAGGAAAGAAAAGAAATACGTCTGTTGGTATCTACATGGAAAGAAACTAGAAAAATATGTCCCAAACAGTTTCCTGAGATGATCTTTGGGAACAGTGGGATTATATGGGCCTTTCTCATCAAGATATGTTTTTGTATTCCTTTGACTTTTTCTATTATCTTGTGTGGTAGGCTGAATAATGCCCCCCCAAAGATAACTAGATCTTAATCCCTGAAACCTATGGATGTTACCTCATATGGCAAAAGAGACTGTGCAGCTGTGATTAAATTAAGGATCTTGATATGGGGAGATTATCGTGGATTATCCAGATGGGCCCTAAATGCAATCATCAGTGTCCTTATAGTAGGGAGGCAGATTTTCCTCTTTCAGCCGTCTTTCCGTGTCACCATAATGATGCGCATGAATGTCCTAGTTGATGCTCTTAAGAGCATCAGCTATGCCAAGAACAGAGACCAGCGCCAACTTCTCATTAGGCCATGCTCCAAAGGCATCATTCAGTTTCTAACTGTGATGATGAAGCATTGTTACACTGGTGAATTTGAAATCATTGATGATCACAGAGCTGGGAAAATTGTTGTGACTCTCACAGGCAGTTAAGCGTGCAGTGATCAGTCCCAGATTTGATGTGCAACTCAAAGACCCAGAGAAGCAGCAGAATAATCTGCCTTCCCCCATCAGTTTGGTTTCATTGTACTGACAACCTCAGCTGGCATCATGGACCACAAAGAAGCAAGATGAAAATAGGAGGAATAGCCTAGGATTCTTTTCCTAGGGGCGTATGTAATACATAAAAACCGGTTGCCATCGAGGCAATTATGTGTCAGAGTAGAAGTATCCTCCACAGGGTTTTCAACAGTTGTAATCTTTTGGAACGAGCCCTGGTGGTGAAGTGGTTAAAAGCTCAGGCAGCTAAGCAAAAGGTTGGCAGTTTGAACTCACAGTCACACCTTGGAAACCCTATGGGGCAGTTCTACTCTGTCCTATAGAGTCGCTATGAGTCGGAATTGACTGGAAGGCACGTAACAACAACGATCTGTGGGAAGCAGATTTCCAGACCTTTCTTCTGATGCATCTCTAGGTGGATTCCAACTGTCAGTCTTTTGGTTAGTAGCCAAGCACTTAACAACCATTTGCACCACCCAAGACATACGCACAAATAAAATGCTCAATGGGGAAAAAGAAAAACAGGGAAGAGGAAAGAAATTTGAGACAGAAGAGGTGATGTGACCACTGAGGCAAGATAATACAGTGCTAGCTTTAAAGATAGAGGAAGGGGCCTTGAGCCAAGGAATGCAGCTCTAGAAGCTGAAAAGGCAAGGAAACAGATTCACCCAAGAACCTTTACGGGAAACGTAGCCCTGCCTTGATTTCAGCCCAGTAAAGCTGATTTCGGACTTTCAACCTCCAGAACTGTAAGAAAATAAATGTATGTTGTTTGAAGCCACCAGATGTGTGGTATTTTGATATAGCAGCCACAGAAAACTAATACAGCTTGCTGACTCTGTATGCAGAACGAAACTGTGAAGATTTTTTTATTAAATAGATTAATGCCTATCACCATTTGTTTTAATTTTTGCATTATAAGGTGTATATTATTAACACACCAACTTGTGGATCTTCAGAAGTACTCTTTACATACCACCCTCTCATTAAGAATCTTTGCACTCCAGAGTCACACCTATAATATTATTTGTTCCCTATGCTGAGGACTCAACCTAAAGAGCAGGTCGGGGTCAAACAATGCTAGAGACCGTAAACAGTTCTCAAAGAAAAGGAGAACCTTCTTTCACATTTGAACAGGAGATGGTAAGAGCAGTGACGATGAGCACCCTTGTCTTATTCTATTTTCCACTAACGTTAATGAGTTGCTTCTAATAATCGACCTTTAAGTATGATGCTTGCTTCAAGTTTTTGGTAAATATTCTTTGCGGTATCCCACCTCCAAGATGGTGTGCCATGAGTCTTTCTTCCTGGTATTCACACCCTTGTGTCGCCCCCTCCCACATTGTGTCAGGGTTGGTTAGTGTGACCAATAGAATACAGCAGAAGTAATGGTATGTCACTTTCTAGATGAGGTTATAAAAACACTGTAACTTCCATTTTGGTCTCTGTATGTGTGTGTCTTGCATCATTCACTCTGGGGGAAGCCATGCCGTGAGCAACCCTACAGAGAGGACCATGAGATGAGGAACTGACGGAAGCCTCCTGCCAACAGCCACGTGAGTAAACTCGGAAACAAATCCTCCAGTCAAGCCTTCAGAGACTGCAACCCCAGCCGACAGCTTGACTGAAACTTTATGAGACACCCTGACCCAGAACCCCTCAGTGAAGCCCCTCTCAGAAGCTGTGCGAGATAATAAATGTTTGTTGATTCAAGCTGCTACATTTTGTTTCTCAGCAAAAGATAACTAATATAATCCTTATCGCATTAAAGAATTTCCTTCTATTATCATGAAGGAGTCTTAAATTTTAGCAAATATTTTGGGGCATTGATTAAAACAATCATATGGTTTTTTCATC